ATACTAATAAATATTAATTAATATAAAATTAAATGTAAACTAAACTTGTTTTCACTATTTATATAACTTGTTAATATTTATGCTCAGATGAGAGCCAGATTGATATTAAGCGTTGAGTTTCAATTTTTATGCAGTTTTTTATATTTATATTATTAACTAAATGATATTAGTATTGATTTTTTCTATTTTTTTAAAATAATATTTAATTATGTTATACCAATTATTAATACTATTTTCGATAAGTAAATGACTAACTAAATCTCAAATATATTGTCTATACCATTTCCTATTTTATATATTATTCTCTTTTTAAAACGATTAAAATTAAGACAACATTTAAATGTCAGTGTAACTTGCCTTTCTTGAAATTAGTTAGAAAAAATTCGATTGTTGAAACAATTTAAAGATACTGATTGACAATTGCTACAAACAACTATTTGAAAACAAAATTAAAAAATATACCAAGTGTAAAAGTGAGACTCTAATGAGTAGTAATATTAGCTAAAGTCTTCCTAGACTATTGTCAAGGAAAACATGGGTAAGGCTTTTAGTTTTATTCTCTTAATAAACTATTAGGATTCTTTTGCACAAAAAATAAAAAGAGATCTTGATATAAAAATTAAGTAAAAAGATCTTGATATAAAAATTAAAAGTTTAATTATCACTATCCAAATGAACAAATAACACAACCTTCTGTTCAACTTCTAAGTTTTAAATGCTACATTTAAAAAATGTAACATTTAATAAAATTGTTATCCATTTCTAAACACTGATAAAAAGTCAATTAGAACAAGAAATTTTAATTACATGACATATTCCTTGCTTTCTGATACTACTGTTGTCACTTAAATATCATTAAGAATATTATACATGATTATATAAAGAATATTTTCCACTTTTTGACACCTCTTCTATGTGAGCTACAAATCATAAAATGTAGTAAGGCAACGACTTATTAGTAGTTAGACATTTGTTGAAAGTAGACAGTCTATTTCATTTGAAATTTAATAATATGATTAATATCATTTCTAAATTATATTGACGTAATTGTGTGACATTTTTATAAAATGTATATTAGCTAAAAATGAGCACTATTATTTATTTGTAGTTTCAAACATTCTGTGATCAAAGTAAAATCTTATAGATCATCAAATTATTATAAAAATTTTTCGAACTACTTTCAACTTGATCTTATTTTTTATAAAAAAACAAAAAATGAAAAAATTGACTTAATTGTATGTGTGTGTATGTATGTATTATATATATATATATATAATTGTATATATATATAGATATTTACATAGTAAAAATATAGATTAACATAATCCTTGGACAGATGATTTTTCATATGATCAAAAATCTCAAAGTCAAATAATTTGAAATAATCAAATTGTTTTGTCTTATATTACACTGATAAATAAAGATTTGCAATAAGTAAATGTTACATTAACTATACACTTCAAAAATGGAAATTCGCATCCGCGGATAATTTCAATTTTTAGTACGCTTATTATTTAAAATAATCAATTATAAATAAATGCCATATATAGATCTCAAATCCAATATCATACCTTTCATCCAACATTGTACAATCACGGAAATGATAAATACATTAAAATTATCAGACAACCAGTTAGTAGACATTATAGAATACAGAAAAATCTAATAATATTAGTATAATATAATGAATGATCCAGTACTGCTTTTTTCAGGGAAACATTATAGGTATCAAAATAAAAGCTATCAATTACTGATTGCACAAGCCATTTTGTAATCATATTAAAAAAAAAAGATCTTTACGCAACATACTACATTCGCTTATTTTTACTACAAAGGTATATTTTTAAGTAAAAACTAGCAATCCATTAAAATTATATCTCCTTTCTATAATAAATAGGAATCTTCTTGCGATTGATTTTTTCAACATTAGAAGATTCTTGACAAGTCCGTTTGAAAAATCTTTGAAGAAATCTAAACACATCTTTGTATTCCCCGCGATATAGAAAATACAGTTTCATTCTGTTTACTCTTACAAAACTTTTATTATTTTTATAGCAAAATTGTGGACACAAGTGCAGGGTACGCAGCTGGTGCGGGTAAAGTGATCGGTAAACTCGGAAAGATAGGGGTAACATCACTTCGCATCATGGATAATCTAAGATCAGTTGTCCATAGCATATCTCCGAGTCCATTCTTTGGCATTGCGTATTGCTTCGCTTTCGTTTACTTTCCAGAGTTCAGCTACGTCATTTGCCAAAGGATCATCTGGATTTGGTGCACTTAAAAGTGCTTGTATTGATAATAAAACTGTTCTGATTTGAAGAGCAGGACTCCACTTATCTTTAAGAATATCCAAACAAATCCTGCCCAATCTATATAACAAATATAAATATTTTCTGTGTATATATATACATATATATTAAATATAAATTTCAAAGGAATTAAAAATTTATTTGTTTTTTTTATATTGAAAATACTTGATGAGTTACATAAATTAATGTACTTAAAAACTAATATGGATTACTCGCGTTGCTAGAAAAAATTTAAAAAATTATTAAAAATTACATCTTTATAATTACCTGTCTATATTTGGATGATAAATTTTTGTAATGAATCTAACTTTAGGAGCAGACATTGGATAGTCTTCTGGTAGGAACAACTCAAGTTTAAAAAGTCCACCTTCAAATGGCGAATCTTCAGGTCCAGTTACAATTACATGAAAATACCTAGCATTTGTATCATCTGGCACAGCACTGATACCAGGAACTGGCTCTTGCATTAGTCTCTGTGTTTCTTTGATAATTCTTCTTGGTAGCGCAGCCATGTTTGATCAAACTCCTCTAGAAGAAAATATCTATGCATCTTTTAACTTGCTTTCTAAATAATAAATATACATAAACTAAAAAAAACATACGATTTATTATATTAAACAAATTTACTACAAATATATATTTATTTAAATAACAATACATAAGTATTTCATGCGTTTTAAAAGTAACGCTATATATTTATTGCTTAAATTTATAAATTGCACTAACACAGGTGCATTGTAGTAAATAAATAATATAAACTAATAGTATTACCTTTAATATTCTTTACTTAATAAAATATATACATTATATTAATATTTTCACACATAATTTATACAGACACGAATAAAATATAGCACATTGCAATGACAATTAGAGACTACATAAAATTATAGACTATATAAAATTATACTACAAATATAAAAGTATAAAAATAAATAAATGTATTAACATTTTTAATGAAATTCATCGCAAACTATAAAGTATCTACATACAGGTACATCACAGTAGAGCTTGTAAATGACTAACAAAAGAAAATTTAGGTTATCAAAGAATGTTTTCTTTTATTTCTACAAACATAATATACATGACAAACAGAAATTAAATCTCGAACATCCAAATCGTAAAAATCTCTCATAATTGTAATAATTCAAATGGATTTATTGCTAAATGACAGTCTTTCACCGTGCGTGTAATTTTGCCGAAACCGTTAATCCTTAATGTATCATATACAATACTAAACAAACAATCGAACATAAATATTTCTTATATGTGTTATTGACAACAAAAGTACTAAATTAAATTGTTCAGAAAACGAACAACAACGTAATAATTGAATTCTTGCCGAATTATTTCTGCCAACCTCCAAAGCTGTGGCAAGGCTACTGCATATGCGTAAACAAAGAATTCGTACATCGAGTCACGTACCGCGTAAAACTAAACTGTACATGGTGTTTCACATGGGTGAGAATGTTTGAAATACGAGTGTAGTCTTCGTATAACAGTAAAATACGTACGATAATCTGAAAATATCCCCGCGTCACCCCGCAAAGTGTGGCAGATTGTCCGCCTCTCTGGTAGCCTTTTCTTCTAGAAACCTCGAAATCGATTTTTAATTCTATTTTTGCAGCACTTATGCGTTTCGTAACAATCGGCTTTGCAGCCGACTTCAAAAATCTGCCTGGGATCTATGGTGCAATCTCAAAAAGATACTTCGACGAAGTGTTAATTAAATTTCCACACGCAAATGTGCGTTCAGCCCTCACAACCGCTTCTCGCGATTCATCTTATCACGCGTTGATGGCGCTGTACACCGATTCACTGCGTAAACCAATTTAACGTCTCCAATGCTTTCTCCCCATCATACGAACGATATGATAATTTTTAAATTTAATTAGTTCATATACGTGTCTACGGGTGGAATACACTGGTCAGACTTTGTTCTCGCTACAGTTTTCGCTTCCACATGTGTTAGGTAACCAATGAGCTTCTAGAGTACTTTGAAAACGAAAGTTATTATTAGTTATTATGTTTTGTCGTTGCTCGTAAAATATTAGTTAATAAATTCTATTCTTTTTATATATTACGCGTTTTATTAATTCAATATATTGTAAATTAATCGTACAAATATGTATACGTGTATATAATACATCTACATGATCTTAATTTTAAAATATCTTGGACAAAATTTTCATGTTTTATGTAATACATATATATGTTCTTGTATGTAAAAGAAATATAAGAAAAATTACATATATGTACATATGTAGTTATGAATATGATTTGAAAGTTATTAAAAAATTAAATTTTGACGTGTGAATATATATTTATTTAGCTAAATTCTCAAAATGTACAATTTAAAAAATGAAAAATAATTAATTAAAATTATTAACACAAGGCAACATTATATATATTTAATAAAATTATTCAAATCAGTATGGATATAACTTAATATTACGAATACAATTTTTAATGCAGCAATATCAGTGCAACCAACAAACTGCCGCGAAACTTAGAAGACATTTGTCATAAAATGTCTTGTATTACTGTTGAAATGTCAGTTCGACGTTCTCGTTATTTGAAAACAATTTGTAGTCAGCCGTTCTTTAATATTTTGCAATTATAATTACATTAAAAGTAAGTTGTGAATTAAAAACGTAAACATTACTTATAATTTGAAATTTTCATTAAGTTGAATATAAATAGATCGTTTAAATACGTTTGTTATTTGTATTAGAAATTATTAGGTGATTTGGTAAATATTTAATTGTTTACATGTTTGTATAAATAATGGCTATTTGTTACTTTGTAAGGTTCAAGACGTTAGTGACAGTAACATAACCTAAAACTAGTAACGAAACGTAAAGTTGTTAATATATCATAAAGCTGTTAGAATGTCATAATTATATGTATGATATGTTTTCTTAAAGTTATTATTATTCCTATTTTTTGCTTTTAATTCAATGTGAAAGATCTGTATTTGTAATATTGTTAATAAAAACAATGAAATATTAAAATTTGATTTTTAGCATTTTTTCATTGTGTTGTCTTTCAATTTTGATATTTTAAACCTGGTTTATTTGTATCTCTATAATCTAAGAAATAATATTCAATTGTGACTGTTTTTTTATAGAACTTTATTAAAGATGGCTGATGTAAGGTTACTCATACAAGAAGAAGGTCGGGCAGCTAGAAATTTGATAGCTTTTAATGTACCAGTTGGAACGAACAGTACTGAGAAGGTTACCAAAAAACCACCTAGTGTTCCAAGAATATCACAAACAAACACTACTAAGAGGTCTATGAAACCAACACCTAGAGTAAGATCAGCTTCTACTGGTCGGGATAAAAAATCTGGTAAACTTTCTGTACTTATAAATTTATTTTTAACAAAAAATTTTCATATAAATTGCATTCATTGTTATAATTGTTTTTTGGAGATTTTATATCCATAAATTTCTAATGTACTAACTTAATGTTTTTTTATTTTGTTATATTAGAATTACAGGCAAGATACTGGGCATTTTTATTTGGTAATTTGCAAAGAGCAGTAGATGGCATTTATCAGACATGTGAAGAAGATGAAAACATTTCTGAATGTAAAGAAGTGATATTAGTTTTAGAAAACTATACTAGAGATTTTCACAATTTGATTGAATGGTTTAAAGTTAAGTGGGCCTATGAAAATTCGTCACCTCCCTTAAGACGTACTCCTTTAGCTTGGGAAGTTAGAAAAACTTCTCCTTGCCGGATATGGAATTCAACAATGATTCCAAAATCCACTAGTCCCTTACAAAGAATGAGTCCTACAGAATCTGTTTGTAGAAGCCCTGTGGATCAAATTATATCAGAAAATAAATCTGTTACTACAGACAATAAAACAACTCATATAAAAGGAGAAAGTGTGCACAAATTAACAAAGGAAAATAAAAGTAATGTTTCCAAAAATAATATGACAAATGTAGGTGAAAAGTATAAAAATTCAGACAAGAGTACAAATCAATCATTGAATAAGGATAAATTAACTTCAATGAAAGTGAATAAAACTCTTGTAAAACACACAGTAGCTACAAAATCCAGTAACAGCATTATTACAGAGCAAAAATTAAATGATAGTTTATCTCGCGAAATAAAAACTAAAATGGACACTAAAAGTTCATCAAAATCAGTTAAAACTGGGATACAATATGCTACCATTAAAATAACAGATTCTAATGTAATAAATGAGAAAAATGAACAAACCGTTTGTAACGATAAAAATGTGCAATTAACTTGTACATCAGTAGAGAAAGAATTTTCTAAATCAAATAGCATAGATAATAAATTGAATTCTCAAAATAATTTTCAAATAAAACCATTGGGCCCTAAAAATGATTTAGAACTAGGAAAAAATGAAATTAATTCTAAAGTAAAAAGACAAAGTACAGGGAAAAATATTAAAACTGTTGGTATAGAAAATGTAGCTACTGAAAATAAAATAACAGAATCCAATAGCGTAATAAAAGAAAATAGTAATACTATAGTAAATAAAAACATACAGAATACTGCAAAAGTTTCAAACAAAATTAATCAAAAAATAAAAAGGCAACCAAGTGTCAGTGATAATGCAAATAAAACCACAACAAAATCTGTGTCAGATACATCACCCAGTAATTCTACTAAGGAATTAGTTACTGCAAATAAACCAGCATATTCTACAGTATCTCAAATGAAAGTTGTTAAATCAAAGCAACCAAGCTTTCCAGAAACTCCAAAATTTGTTAGAAGCAAAACCACATTAAGTGACAAAAATACATCAATTTCAAATAAAACAAGACCTGGGACGTCTGTTATAGTTAGGCAACGATTTCAGTCAACTGACAATAAGGTACCATTACTTCTTTTTATAATCTTAACTTGAAATATATACTTATAATATAAGTTTGTATTAGATTTCAGAACAAAGTTCATTAAAAAAGGATCAAAATAGAGATATAAATGGTTCAGTAGAGGTATTAACGAAACAGACGCATATAAAAACTAAAGAGGAAACCGACGGTTGGCAAACAGTTCGAAGTCGTTATAGAAGAGGCAGTACACATAATTTAAATATGTCTACAAGATTTCATAAACCAAGTACTGCAACATCGTTACCAGCTTTATCAATTGAAAGTCCCGTTGAAAAGAATAAAACAAATTGTTTGACTCCAGATGGAAACTGTAAACAGAAAAGGAAATGTATTGTAGAGAAAGAAGGGAAAAATATAAGTAATGAAGTAGAAAAAGTTAAAGGAGAATCAGCTGTAAACCTTATCATTAAGGATAAGGTAGAAGAAGTTTTTAAGAACACTGTTAATTTAAACGAAATAAATTCTACATCAATGATCGCAGCTATTTTTAAAAGTGATGCGGAATTACTTGAGAAACGTATACAACAATTTATGGCCGCTCAAGCAGAAAGAGAAAGAATAATTTTAGAAGAGGAAAGGAAAACCGAGGAAGCTGATTCGCAACGATCGCAACAGTTGTCAGATGAAGAAGCATCCTTACATAGGCAAATTTTAGAACTGGAATGCGCTGAAACTGATGTCGATACTGAAACTGATGAAACAGATGGTGAAATGATTCTTGAAATGGAAGATGAGCAAAGAACATCTCCCAATACAATGCCTGATGATGTCAGTTTAGAAGATAGGTATGTACTAAATATATTATTTTAGCTTGCTTCTTGTATGTCAAATTTAAAAGAATTATTTACAGATATGAAAACATGTTAGAGGGAATGTCTTGGGCAGAATGTGTAGATACACTTGCTCAACTACATGCATTAGTTGCCCGTCATCCTGGTAGAGCTTTAGAATTGCATCAGAAATTATCGTCTCCATCTCGAAAAAGATCGTTACCTGAGACATTACGACGATATCAAGCGAAACAAGCTTGCGCACAACACAAACGTCAAAAACTATTAATGGAAAAATCGCAAAGATTGCGAGAGTTATTGAATAAAGTAAAAGATGTTAAAAGTGCAAAGAACCAGCTAATAGAAGATAAAAGGATTAGAATGGAAATGAAGTTAAAAAAAGCAGAAGAAAATAGAACGCAACATTTGATGGAAATAGTAAGAAAAGCTCACGATGAAGATTCTAAATTAAAGGAAATTGCATTCATTAATGAGCTTGAAGCACAAAATAAGAGACACGATTTTATGGCGTTGTGTCAAGAACAAGAAGAAAGATTGCAAGTATGTTGCATACATTTACATTTTTAATAGTAAAAATTACAAGTCCTGGAATTATTTGCAACATTTATTTTCTAGGGAATTCAAGAAGAACGTCAACGCCGACAAGAAGAGAAAGCTGCTAAGGAAGCTGCGGCCGAAGAACGTAGACGAGCTTTGGAAGCAGAACGACAGTTGCGTATTCAAAAAATGAAACAAGCTCGTCGTGAACGTGAGGAAAGAGTTGGTAAGATGCAGTTGGAAAGAGAAAAAGAACGACAGGTAATTATATTCCATAAATACTAATAATCTAAAATGTTAAAAATAATATCAATATTATATTAATAAAATTTTAAGGAACTTGCAAGAGAAAAAGCTAGAGATAGAGAAGAACGCTTATCAGCGCTTCATGCAGCGCAATTAGCAAATCAAGAAGAACTACAAAAGAAAATAGCTCAAAAGCAGCAAGAATCAGCTAGAAGGCATGTTGAAAACATAGAACATATTCGACAAAGAGCAGTTGAATCTTCGATTTTAAGATCGGAAGAAGTTCCACCTACATTAAAATCTTATCCTGCTCAAAAGCAGTGTTCTTTATGTGGAACTCTGGTGAGTATCAATTCGATAAGTTCTACTGAATTCTATCTATATTTATTGTTTCAGTTAATAACTAATATGGCATATATATATTTTTTATATGTTTTATTTTAGATACCTAATGAAGTGTATCTGTTAAGCCATTTAAAAGGGAAAACGCATCTCGAAGCAGTGCGAAATACTCACGATAGTCGAGAACCATCACGAGATGAATTACAACGCTTTAATATATCTCAAATTCGCGATGTTCCAATATCGGTTATTGATAATAGTAATTCAAACGAAGTTAAAGCTGCGAAAGAGAAGCAGAAAGCTTTAAAACGTCGATGCAGAAAAATAAAACAACGTATGACTCTGCGTGGTAAAGAGTGGGAAGACAATCACAAGACAGAAGCGAATCAATCTATCGAGTCATCTAATAAAGCCAAATTTCGTCGAAATTTGAAAGAATTGGATAGATTGTACACTAGTCATTCAAAGACTGCTTGGTCGAGCGTCGCTATCGCAGCTTTGGAACGTTGTTTGGGTGAAATGACGAGAGCTTTTTCAAAATTGGTAAAAATACTTTTGCCTTAAATAAGATAATGATATTAAGAAATAATTGATCATTAACAATTGATAATTGTTACATTTTAAATATTTCAGTGTTTGTTTGATCAGATTGTATTTCGAATTTTAAATGGATTCGATATCTTAACTAATTTGTTAAATTTGGGACTACAAACACAGAATGTATCTCATAATTTACCAAACAAGTAAGTATATGTTGCTTTTTATATTATCCGAGACAGCTTTGAAAATACTATATACATATTACTATATTATACTATGTTTTCACTCTGAAAACTATTTGTAATTACTGTATTACTGTGTATATAGCATGTATATAGCATACATAAATTATATTATTTTAAATATAAAATTTTGTGTATTCTAGGAGCATTCTTTCGGTGTGTCGTGTATTTAAATTAAGTGTCAGCGAAAATGATACTAATATTGAAGCGGTTTTGTCAAGTAATAAAATTCTTGTCATCTTGGATCTTCTGCTTCAGCATTTAGAGGTATGTCGAATGTCATTGTTTTGTAACTATTATAATTGTTTTCTTCGAAAATTTTCAATATACATTTTCAATATTTATTTATCATCCATAAAACAGTTTCGAACGATATATCTTTCCAAATTTTAGTAATCCGGAACGTATAAGTTTTAAATTTAAATTGCTAAATAAACATGAATAAATATATTTTTTTTTGTTTGTTTTTATTCTCCATTTTTTATGTTGGCACTTATTTCGTGGCGGAGAGTAGACTATTCATCTCTTCATTGAGACGTGATTCTTTCACTCGTTTTACAGATCCTTTCTATTTCGATAATGTAGTAAAAAATAGTATGATTTCTAGTACAGAGGTTTTCGGTATCGAGGAATATATTCGTTTTTTAACATTTGTTTGATATCACAAAATCGTTAGAAATATATAATAACAATTTAAAGATTAATATACTTAACTTTGGAATTTTTAATATAATTTTAATATAGATAATATAATATAAAATGCAAAATAAAATTGAATATTCTAAATTTTAGTAATATAACATAAATTATCATTACATTTGTTTATAACCCAACGATATCATTTTAGAGTTGAAATTCAAAAATTGGGGAAACAAATCTCATGTTATGCTTTCGATTTGTCTATTTTAACGTTAAATAATTTTTCTGCGGTTGTATTATTAGTTATGGGACACCTTGTGAATGATCTTGTGTGAGCAACGTCGAGTAAATCGGGAGTTCACGTGGCGGCGGTACGCGAATGTAGCTTTTTTTTTGCTGTGCTCGTTTTTCGAGCTCTTTTTGAGGTTGGTGGCTTCGAGATAAACGAAGGCAAAGACCATCATACCTGTCCTGTCTGACTTGTCAAAATAAGGATTAAGAGTCTTAGGGCCTGGTTCAGCTCGCGTTCTCCGCTCCGGAGTTTCGAACACTTAACTCTCTCATTCTGATCGTTTGTGCGTTGAACGCAAATCAATAAGCTGGACATAAAAATCCATCGAAGAATTTCATTTTTTAAATATTAAAGCGTACGTATGAAATAAGATGTTCGATATGATATTGTTAGATAAGACATTCGCATTTTTATGTTTGCAATTTGATTTTAAAGACAGATTAATGAAACAGTGAGTTTTAAGAAGTGAAACTAATTAATTTGTTGTTATGATCATTTTTGTCACTAACTGTTTAGTTGTAATTATTAATTAGGGAGTAAATTATTATAGTTTGTATAATTGAAGTTCACGATATAGAGTTTATGAGAATTATAGTCTCGATCATTTATCTTGGCATGTAGGAATTAGAATTCTAAAACTTTTGACGGTTATTGATTCTTTTAGTCGGCAGAGAAAATGCTACAGTAGTATGCATAACTCTAATGGATAAGTGAAGCGTGAAAGGGGAGAACGAAGTCGAAGGCAGAGAACTGAAGTTGAAACGTGTGTTCTCACTGACGTATAGTCGAAGTTTCAATTTTCATATAATTTTGATTTTGAAGATTTTTCAAAAAATATATTTCATTAAACGAAAAAGAGAAGCATTTCACTTAAAATGTATATTTCGAATAATGTCCTCCATTCTCTACAAACATTTCTCTCTCTTCTTCTTTCGCAAAATATTTCTTTCACTATGGACGCTTTATTTTAAGTTATATTTTGCTCATTTCTCATAAATATTCGCTGAATAATCGGTTAAATAGATAGAAAATAATTGTTGATAATTGTTCGTAACGAGTAAAAGAAAGATGTCGGAAATAAATTTCTTATCAAAATTACATTTAAATATGTAATATTTATTTACATATTTTTGGTGTGATATTTATACTAGTCAAATTTAATTTTTGACAATATTTTTCTGCATATATCTTTTTAAAGCAAAAAGTAAATAGTATTTAATAAATAATTTATTAGAAAATATATTTATGAGTATAACATTTGTTTTTTGACGTGCTTCGCTAAATATCGTAAAGATTCTTTTTCTCGCCGAATTTAAAAAGCAAAAAATCTTTCGAAATAGCTCAGGCGCGTTTTGTCGGATACGCTCAGACTTATCTTTGGCTTTTGTGACTATTTCTATCTTTATTTTGGTATATATTAACATTAATTTAACGTTCGTTCGTTTAATTTTGGATGATATTACATGGATTAAAGATTATGATACAATGAAGTAATTCGAAATTTCGAGAGACAATTCTTTCAGTTTTAAACGAACGAATGAATACTGCGCGGTCACGTGATCCATAATGGTTCAGAGAACGTCATTTTAAAAATTAAAAATACTTCCATATCGTTTTCCTTTTTTTTTTTTTTTTTCAACAAAAATATTATTAATGTAATTATTATCGTGAAATGCGACGAGTAACACAAAATATAATTGAAACGTAAAAATATAATTATCCGTATGAATTTAAAAGTCGCAGATAATTGCGTTTAAACTTTCATACAAACGACACCGTCCCACACCCCACCGTTTTCAATCATTTTTTTTTAAAAACCTGCTCAAATAAATATAAATCCTGCGTTCGTATAAATGCTTACTGCAGGATTAAACAGCACGTGTACGACTCGCCACATTTTTATACTCCACAATCAGAGTATAATTTCAATTTGAACTTGGCGATTTTTACTTACAAAATCCAATCGCACGATAATTATCTGACACGAAGGATTTATGCTGATTAGGCAAAAGAGAAAATCTCTTTCGGTGTTTTAAACTACCGACCATACGTTCGAAGTTAGTCGTTTCGCTCGATGATCCGGCGTAATCGGTCCGCGAATTCATCGTCGTGATTTCAGGATCGATTTTTCACGCTTCATAGATACGGCACTGGCGCCTTCCTTCTCCTGTTCCTCCCCTTGGGAATCCCCCTCCGCAAATGCATTAGCGGCGAGAGAGCTTTTAGTGACGTCACCCACGCACATACACACGCCACACACACCCGCACACGACTTCACGTGCATACGCGCGCACGGAGAGACGGGGGAATCGGGTTATACGGGTGAAAGAAGCGCGTGTGTATCGCTGCCATGTGTAGAATGTGCGTGAGTACTTCTGTTGCCGCTTCCATCAAGCTCCGTTTTCGAGGAGCCGGCCTAATCTTTTGTCTCTCGTCCTCTCTATCGGCAGTTTTTCAGCCGACCTCCTCGCACGTACCAGAAATTCGGCTGTTCCTCATATTTTATCGCCGCGCCGAGCTTTTCCCCGGGTTAGAGACGGTTTTTAGCCGTTGCGTCCACCGCGAGGACGTTCTTACGACCACGAATTTCACTCGCCGGCGATATTTTCGAGTTTATGGTTGGAACGCGTTCCCATCCGGCGAAACAGGGATTGATATATATCGCCGGGGTTTGCTGAAAGATGTTGTTGACGCTGGATCTACGAAAACGCGTTCAAAACGTTGCTTTATTTCAATTATGTGATGAATTTCTGTTTGTTTCGAATAGCATGTAGACGTAAAAAAATTAGAAAGAAATATTCCGGAAAAGATATCATCTCGACTCTCCGCTTCAATGATAAGCAGAATTTTTATTTGCTTTGAATAGTATTCGTGCCAAAGTGGCTTTACATTGAACGAAATAGCAATATTCTTTGGCGACCGATTCGATGCCAGATCCATGATTAAGACAATCAATCTCTAGATTTAACTGGAAACTTTTTAGGGAAACGCTGTCTGTTATATTATTGAAGTCTAGAAAGAATCACCATTCTTTGGGCCATTACACAAAGAGATCGATTGTCCTGTAGGGTTCGCGAATGCTTTTCAATCTCGTCCATTGGGCAAGCAAATTTACAATTTCCCGTAAGTTGTTCGAGGTTGCTATTCCTCTCCCGTTATTTTGTCCCTTTTTTTTTTCCCACCAGTGCATTCGTCCGCTTCCTCGAAAAGCGTAAAAGCGCTGTAGATAAATTCGACGATTCGGAATTGGACCGATTGCTCGTAAAAAAAAAAAAAAAAAAAAAAAAAAAAAAAAAAAGAAAAAAAAAAAAAAA